GAGTGCAGCCTTCTTTTACAGCCATTTGGATATTTGGAGCCCTGGTAGTAGTAACCCGGTCTTGGTAATTGACTTAGTAATTGGAGTCTGAGCGCAAGGTACAGTTGTTATATATATATATATATATATATATATATAAATATATATACATACACACGTATTATATGTGTGTGTGTGTGTGCATCTATACATATACACACACATACACATATTATATATATGTATATATACATATACATATATAAAAATACGACAATTTGAAATACTCTAGGGTGTCTTCTTTTAAAAAATAAATGGTTTGATGGGGGTAAATTACATTGGCCGGCTTAAAAAATATCCCAAATAGGACATGGGTGCATGATGACCAGCTGTGAAAATTCCAAGTTGGAAAACTGGAATGCGCACCCTCCAAATAAGGTCTTTTAGCCCCCAGAGAACCCGACATACCTATACATGTGGGCTATCACTGTATTCAGGAGATGTTGCTGAACACATATCGGGGTGTTCTTTGGCAGTAACCTTTAAAGTTCTCAGTACATTTATTCTAAAATTGCTATGTGTGTCAAAAAAATCACCAAATATTTTTTATTTTCTTTTTAAGATTTGGCATAAATTGGTGGTAAAATGGTTGCATGAAAGAGTCAAAATACCCTAAGTTTAATACCTTGGATTCAGTGGCGTACACACAATCCATGGGGCCCCGGTGCGAAACTGATCCACATACATACAAAGACACATACATACAAACAGACAGGCATACATACACATACAGACACAGACAGACACACACACATACACATACAGACACACATACAAAGACACATATACACATACAAACAAACAAATACACACACAAAATGTTTAAGTCACCATCCTGTTTCCTACCTTTTAGGTGCAGGAGGGTGACTTCCCTGGGGTCCAGTTGTGGCTCAGGTTGATGGGAGTCAGAGTTATTTGTATCAAAATTAAACCGTTTAATGCAAAATGTTTGCATGACTGAATGGCTCACTGACTCTCACTACAAGACCAAGTACCATCTGTGAAAATGCTGTATTCTAGTATAATGATTGTCAGCCAATCTTTGGCAACAGCAGTTGGTCAACCAAGATGGAACTCTTAGACTATAGGAATCTTATTAATGACACGAAGGCTCCTATTATGCAATCTCCTTCTTTATTTTCCCTCAACAGCAAAATGAGAGAAAAAATATTTGAACTCTAATATATACATATAACAAAAAAACTGCATAGAAATGGGGAAGCCAATCATTAAAGGACCACTATAGTGCCAGGAAAACATACTCGTTTTCCTGGCACTATAGTGCCCTGAGGGTGCCCCCACCCTCAGGGTCCCCCTCCCGCCCGGCTCTGGAAGGGGAAAAGGGGTAAAACTTACCTTTTTCCAGCGCTGGGCGGAGAGCTCTCCTCCTCCGATCCTCCTCTTCTCCTCCCCGTCGGCTGAATGCGCACGCGCGGCAAGAGCTGCGCGCGCATTCAGCCGGTCACATAGGAAAGCATTCATAATGCTTTCCTATGGACGCTGGAGTGCTCTCACTGTGAAAATCACAGTGAGAAGCACGCAAGCGCCTCTAGTGGCTGTCAATGAGACAGCCACTAGAGGATTAGGGGGAAGGCTTAACCCATTCATAATTATAGCAGTTTCTCTGAAACTGCTATAATTATGAAAAATGGGTTAACCCTAGAAGGACCTGGCACCCAGACCACTTCATTAAGCTGAAGTGGTCTGGGTGCCTAGAGTGGTCCTTTAAGTAGAACAGTCTATAAAAGGCATATTCCATAGGATCCCTTCCACTTTCTTTGCTGCTCCCTCGGAACAGTGTTAATTTGTACTTATAGCCCTATAAATGGCATAATAATAATAATAATAATAATATAACTTTCCAAAAAAAGCTAAGAACATGTTAACATTGGGTATTTCTAAACTCAGGACAAAATTTAGAAGCTATTTAGCACAGAAGTTTTTTGGTGGTTGTGGATGCATAACAGATTTTGGGGGTCAAAGTTCCAAAAAGTGTGTTTTTTAAATTTTAGCATATTTTATTTTTTATAGTAAATTATATGATATGATGAAAATAATGGTATCTTTAGAAAGACCATTTAATGGCGAGAAAAACGGTATATAATATGTGTGGGTACAGTAAATGAGTAAGAGGAAAATTGGAAATTTACAGCTAAACACAAATTCCACAGAAATGTAAAAAGAGCCCTGGTCCTTTACGGTAAGAAAATGTAAAAACGGTCTGGTCACTAAGGGGATTTCTTGCAAAAGCGTTATATTCAGGGATATAATATTTAAAATGTGGGTTAAGGACTTCTTGGTCCAAGGGGTACTGACTGCCATTCTGGGGTCGAGAAGGAATCTTTTCCTTGTAGTTGCAAAATTAAAAAGAGATTCAAATTTTTTTGCCTAATTTTTGGATCAACAGCACAAACAGATGAGAGAAAGGCTGAACTTGAAGGACACGGTTTTGACATTAATGGCTGTGTTGAGTTATTTTGAGGGGACAGCAAATTTACACTGTTATACAGGCTGTACACTTACTACTTTACATTGTAGCAGTGTCATTTCTTCAGTGTTGTCACATGAAAAGATTTTATAAAATATTAACAAAAATGTGAGGGGTGTAGTAACTTTTGTGAGATACTGTATATAAAAATATATATATCAATAGATCATAAATATTAGAATATGTTTTAAAATATTATACAATTTTAAAAGCTTATCCAAAAATATTAAATCAAGGCCTTAATTTGCTAATGCACATCTTACTTTCAAGCCTGCGCGACAAGCTGCACATACTGGACCTTTGGGCTCAGTGAGAGTCACTTTATCCAGGGCTGGCTATATCCAGATAAACAATGAGAACTCCATACATTATTTATCATTCACACACTATATAACAGATTAAATATCATCCTGACAGCAATACAATACAATACACTCCAGGCACCCACACATTAGGCACACTGTGTAGATAAGGTTACAATTAGTTTTATAGATTGGGTTTATATTAATAATATCATGTCCCTTTTATAATATAAACCTATAGTTGCCAATATTTGAAAAAGCATTTTAGGGGCACTATGGCGATATGTGCCCTCGCCATGAGCTCCTGGTGGAGCTTAGTAGTTAACCGCCTGCTTCAGGACTATGGACCCAGATAAAAGACTGTTAAAAGAGATTGGTTTGTGAGATTCCCCCGGGACTGTTCGGGAACCGAACCAACATTCGAACTGCGGACCACCTCTGAACTTATTGACTCTTGTTAACCTCTCCTGACAATTCAATCAGTGTGGGTTCTAATGGTGCGGCTGGGTGGCTTGTTGGCGAGAATGCAGGCAGTGGTGTTCGGGCGACGATCGCGTGGAACTAAAATCAGACACTGAAACTCCTGAACACGTCAGGAGAGCGCCATTCAGTACGTTTGTTTGTATGAATCATATGAACAAACTCTACCAATCAGCCAGAGTGTGCGTTCAGTATTTCGTTCGCATGGAACTCCCGTGCAAAAAGCACAAAACGCCCTGGAACTGTTTTGGGCATAGGCACATATGTTTCTATGTTTCTATGTTTGGGGGCGTGTCACTGTGCTCAGATTCCGTATATAAGTGAGCCCTTTGGCTGAGAATACTCAGCTCGTGTTTGGGTGATACTGCGGTTACCTCTTCAGCAGCAACTATAATCACTACTCAGCAATACCTATAATCACTGACAGCTATAATCACTCTGGAGCTATCACAACAAGGTTACTCAGCAATACCTATAATCACTGGCAGCTATAATCACTCTGGAGCTATCACAACTACGAAGGGGCAACCACAGGCGGTAGAAAGCCATCTTCAAGAGGGTTTACCGCTACAGGCACTTTGCAGTAGATTAATGAAAACGTTGCTGACACTTTTACAACATATTTTCTGCAAACATTTGATGCAATTTATTAAATCTGTTGCTTATTTTACTCCCTAACCACCATTTTTGAATATGTGTAATTTTTTTCTGTGACACATGAATATAGGAATGATTTTGTATGGACAAGGTGAATGCAGGGGTATATTTTGTATGTTGTAATGGTGTGAACACAGGGGTTTAGGTGTGTGCAGTGCTGGCGCTTGAATGCAGGGGAATATCCATGTGTAGTGTTGGCGTTTGTCTGCAAGGGTGTATCCGAGTGTAGTGTTGGCATTTGAATGCAGAGGTGCATGTTTGTGCAGCGTTTGCGATTGATTGCACGGGTGCATTCATACGTAATGTTGGCATTTGAATTCAGGAATTCAAGATGTATTTGTGTGTAGTATTGGTGTTTGAATACAGGGCTGTATTCAGTCTAATGTTGGCATTTAAGTGCATGGATGTATTTTGTGTGTTGTGTGTGAAAGTAAGCATGATTTATATGGAGTGTGTGGAGTGCGTGATTACAAAGGTGTATTTGTGTGTAGTATCGACTGGACTTCGGGAAACATTCGGCCTGGGCATTTTTGCATCACAGTGGTCCACGGAGAAAAGTGGTGGAGCCAGAGAAAGTGTGTTTTATCATCACCAATGACAAAACATGCTCCTTCTCAAAGTAAGCATGTTGGTTCAATGTGCAGAGTTCTGCAGAAGAGCTGTTGCATGAGAAAAAGGCTCTGTATTTATTTAGAAATGTATTAATATACTTGCGCTGTTTGCTTGTGAATGGTATCTGGTGTCTAGGGATGTGAATGGGAAAAATATTAGGTTCAGTTTGGCACTTCGGGACTTTGGAAGTTCTGGACTTCGGAACTTGGGGTAAGTATAGGATTAGTTTAGGAGTAAAGGTAGGGTTAGGGTAGGGTTAAGGGTAGGGTTAGGTTAGGGGTAGGGATAGTGTTAGGTTAGGGTTAGGGTTAGGAGTAGGGTTAGGCGTAAGGTTAGGGGTAGGGTTAGAGTAGGGTTAGGGTTTGTTTAGGAGTAAGGGTAGGGTAGGGTTAGGGTTGGGTTAGGAGTAGGTTTAGGAGTAGGGATAGGGTAGGGTAGGGTTGGGTTAGGAGTAGAGTTAGGGTAAGGTTAGAGGTAGAGGTACTTCTAGCCCTACCCTAACACTACTCCTAACCCTACCCTAATCCTACCCTAACCCTTGCCTGTCTGTCTGCATAATTTGATATACGTCTATGTGCATTTTTTCATACTGCAAGTATGCAGACTTGTGGGGACGGGGCTGATGGCCCTTCATTCACCCCTACCACCCCTCTTCCCCCCATACCAATGGACGATGGACTTATGCCTTCAGAAGAATTCCAAGCCCTTCTAGATTCTACTATGGTAGGCTCCATTCAGAGGGCTCTGGCCTCAGCCATGGTGGCTATGTCCTCCTCCATATTGCAGACTCTAGCTCAGGCTTTTGCCTAACCTCAAGGGTCACCTACAATTTCAGCCCCTGTGGTTCAGTCAGTGCCTATGGCCCGCAAAGCACGTGCAAAGACTAGGCACGTCTCGCCTCACTCTCAGACTCAGGTCAGACCTGCAGAGATTGACCCACATATGGCAGTCCCAGCTGGCGCATTCCCACCGTGCACAAGAGCCACAGGCAGAGGCGGACTGACCGGTCGGGCACTTCGGACACGGTCCGAGGGCCCGGCCGGGAGGGGGGCCCGCCGCCAGGGCCGCCTTCAGGGGGCCCGGCGTCAGGGCTGGATTGGGGGCTGCATTTGGGGACATGAGGAAGGTGCCACCGGGTGGCCGGCCCGGTGGCACACTGTGAGGGGGGCGGCCGCATTTCATGCTGCAGCCGCCGGACCGGGTGGCAGCCTCGCCGGTCCGGCGGCTTTCCTCTCACTAACGCTGAAGAAGGAGGAGGAGGAGCATGTGTCTGTCATGCTCCCTGCGGTTCCCACAATTCCCAGCACAGGAGGTGGGAACCGCAAAGGAGCATGACAGACACATGCTCCGCCTCCTTCTTCTTCTTCAGCGTTAGTGAGAGGAA